GGCAGTGTCACTGGCCCTCATATGTGGGATCCGAACCGGGGCCCTCTGGCGTCCCAAGCCAGTTCTTAACCATCGCGCCACTCAGCCGGCCCCAAAACATTTGTTTTTGAAGTGTCCCACCTCATTGCAACCTAGTGCACCATGGGGACGTAAAAACATTGGAGGACCTTACCCTTTACCCAGGCACCTCAGGATTTGCTCAGTTGGAGATCAGGTAAGTCTGAGTTCACCTTGTAAAAATTACTGAACCCAAGAGGAAATAAACTGAGGAAAAGTTGACTGATACAAGAAACCTAAAATATAGTCCTTCAGTACTGCTGACAAAGATATTGTAGCAGCAAAGAACAATGGTCTGACCACTAAACCCTGGATATGTAAGAATAGAATTAAGAGTTAGGAAGGAGCCACATAAGGAGCAACAAGAAAAAGTAGAGAACACACAGACTTCAGAAGGAGAGGTCTTTAAAGGGAGGCATGGAATTCACATTCTTCATTGCACTCTCTGTGCCTTGCATTTGGTATGTGCTTACTTAGTATTTGTTGAAAAGGTATTAAGAGTTTTGATGATTCCAACTTCTGGTCAGATGGTGGAATAGACAGATGCTGTGCCGACTGCCTCCCAGGATCACACCAAAATTACAAATAATTTATAAGATATTCAACCTCAGAAGTTCCCTGGACACTAGATGAGCAGGACATCTAAGTGAAGGACTTAAAGAGGAGGCCACGTCGAGTCTGATAGGAGGGGTGGAGACGAGAGAGGGAGAACCCTGTAAGGGACACCTCAGCGGTGGGGAGGCTTCACCGGTTGGGGGAGAGACCCTCCGGCCCCACACCGTGCTCACCAGCCCAGAGTTACGTTGCGGGGAAGAGGAGTTCTACAATAGCTACAAGTAGAAAATAGTGAGAACTCTCTTTGCTCAGCTCAGTGAGGTTGAGGGCAGCTGGAGAACCAGTGGAGCCGGCAAACTGACTCGCTCGCTGGTGAGCACTCACCCGGTTCCTGGTGGAGGGAGTAGCTTTGTGAGTGGGGCCCAGGAACACGTGGGAAGGACCAAACTGAGTATCTCTGGAGTGGGAGCTGGAGGTTTATGGGACCATTGTTCCCCTGGTGTGGAGCTTACACACGAGTAGTGCACAGAAGGCGCCATTTTTTTCAGGGCTGGGCACTCCCACAGAGGCTCAGGTCTGAGACTGCATTGGTCTGCTGGAATTGGCACAGGAGTGTGTGTGTGCGTGTGTGCATGCACACGTGTGCATGCGGCCTTGGATCTCCACCCTCTGCACTGCTTGTGCTGTGTAGCCAGGGAAATGCCTGGCAGGCGTGCTTGGGTTCAACAGACTGCTTATTGAGACCTGGGAGTGTGCGACTCACCTTAGGTCCCCGATTTCTGCACTGCATGTGCAGAGTTGGCTGTGTGGTGATTGGCAGTGGGCTGCTTGGCCTGATCTGTGAGCAGCGATTGAGACAGGCTGAGACTGGGAGTTTTCCTGGGAGTGTAGCGTCATGAGCTGTGCACCTCCCTGATTCGGCCGGGACTTTCCTGGCGAGTCTGTGCGGGCTGGCTGCTGATGCAGAGGTGCATGCTGCTCTGACTTGGTGGGGGCCACTGACCACATCCTGTGGTGCCTTGGGGGCCTGTCCCGCCCACCTAGAGCTGTGTTGCCAGGGGAACCCTATGCCCCTGGTCCCGGGCCCCTACTTCCGCAGGCCACAGAAGGTTTTTTGCAGCAGCAGAAAGCCCACAACAACCTGTGAGGATTCTTGGTGGTGAGCATGGTTCCAGAGCACACAGCAACTAATTGTGGGAAGCTCACTTCAAGTCTAGAAGGAGGTCGGTACATGACGCACTGAGCCCTTCCCCCCAACAGCTGGTGCTGAGTCGCCCAGAGTCTCTCTATTGCTGAGCAAGTGGTCTGCAGATTAAAGCAGATTTTTTCTTTTTTCTTCTTTTTTTCTTTTTCCTTTTTTCCCCCTCTTTTTCTCGTTTTTCTTTTTCTCTCTTTTTTTTTCTTTCTAGGTGATCTAATACATTGAAGCAATCAGAGTGACAGCCAGAATGAAGAAACAAAGAAATATGTCCCAAGTAAAAGATCAGAAGAAACTTCAAGAAATGGAACTAAATTAAACAGAGGTATCCAACCTTTCAGAGACANCTCATATGTGGGATCCGAACCGGTGTCCTCTGGCGTCCCAAGCCAGTTCTTAACCATTGCCCCACTCGGCCGTCCCCAAAACATTTGTTTTTGAAGTGTCCCACCTCATTGCAACCTAGTGCGCCATGGGGACTTAAAAGCATTGGAGGACCTTACCCTTTACCCAGGCACCTCAGGATTTGCTCGGTTGGAGATCAGGTAAGTCTGAGTTCACCTTGTAAAAATTACTGAACCTAAGAGGAAATAAATTGAGGAAAAGTTGACTGATACAAGAACCCTCAAATATAGTCCTTCAGTACTATTGACAAAGATATTGTAGCAGCGAAGAACAATGGTCTGACCACTAAACCCTGGATATGTAAGAATAGAATTAAGAATTAGGAAGGAGCCACATAAGGAGCAACAAGAAAAAGTAGAGAACACACAGACTTCAGAAGGAGAGGTCTTTAAAGGGAGGCACGGAATTCACATTCTTCATTGCACTCTCTGTGCCTTGCATTTGGTATGTGCTTACTTAGTATTTGTTGAAAAGGTATTAAGAGTTTTTGATGATTCCAACTTCTGGTCCGATGGCGGAATAGACAGATGCTGTGCCGGCTGCCTCCCAGGATCACACCAAAATTACAAATAATTTATAAGATATTCAA